TTTTTAATGACGTCCTAATAATGTATTAATAGCAATTAATTACTCAATAAGTGTTAATACCTGTCATAATCTAAATTTATATGTAGTTAATCTATACATTAGTTTTTTTATTTTTATTGAAAAAATATGATTAAAATACACATAATAATATTATTACCTACTTAAATTGAAGTGTTGATAAATAATAATTAGGAATTAAGACCCTTAAGGGCTAAATTGCGCAAAAAATAAAAAAAATAATTCCAATAAGTTCTTGTTTTATAAGAACTTAAATAACGTTTACAGAACTTGTTTTGGTTTTACAAGGGTTTTGTAGCTTTCAATAGGTTTTTGGACTAAAAATGAAATATAAGTTATTTTTACTAAAATTGTAATGTCTTTATATTAAATTTGGTTTTATAGGATCCCTAAGAATAATTGTTTTGGTTTTATAAGAGTTTTGTTGCCTTTAACAGGTTTTTGCGCTGCAAAATAAGATTTAAGGCATGTATTACCAAAATGTTTATAAGAACGTTTGTAGAACTTGTATTGGTTTTATAAGTGGTTTTGTAGACTTCAACAGGTTTTTGGGTTACAAAATAAAATTTAAAGCATTTATTACTAAATTGTATTGTTTTTAAATTAAACCTGGTTTTAAAAGATCTCTAAGAATGTTTGCAGAACTTGTTTTGGTTTTATGAAGGTTGTGTAGCCTTTAACAGGTTTTTGGACAGCAAAATAAGATTTAAGGCGTTTATTATCAAAATTTTTAGTTTAAACTTGGTTTTATTAGATCTCTAAGAATGTTTGCAGAACTTGTTTTGGTTTTATAAGGGTTTTGTAGCCTTAGACAGGTTTTTGGACTGCAAAATAAGATTTAAGGCATTAAAGCCTTTAACAGGATTTTGGATTTAAATAAAATTTAAATCATTTATTACCAAATTGCTTGTTTTTAGATTAAACTTGGTTTTATAAGATCTCTATGAATGTTTGTTTTAGTTTTATGAGGGTTATGTAGTCGTTGACATTTTTTTATACTGTAAAATAAGATTTAAGGCATTTATTAACAACATGTTTATGTTTTTTAATTAAACTTTGTAAATGTATTATTAATTTAAAAAAATCATTGATTTTGAACAATGCATTTCAATGTAGTTTTTTTAAGAAAGCACTGCCGAAAATTTTATAAAATTCTGACCACTCAAAACAGCCTTACCCAAATAGAACTTGTTTTGGTTTTATAGTGGTTTATTTTATAGTTTTAAAATGAGATTATAAAATTATAATGTTTTGTTACTTAATTTGGTTTATAAGATCTCTAAGAACGCGTATAAAACGTTTTGCTTTGTAAGGGTTTTAAAGTTTTCTTTGGACTGCGAAATTTAAGGCATTATTACCAAGTTTAAATGTGGCCAAATGTGTTGTTTATTTACTTTGGAAATAAAAAATTTCCCTTATAAAAACAAATGAAAAACAATGTAACAATGTTTTCAAAACAAAAACTGTTTCAACCTAATTATGGTCCCTTTACCTTTGACTTATTGAGGCCCTTTTTATTTAAAAAACTTTTTCCATAATCCTACATGCATACGAAAAAGCTTTTTATAAAATGTTGTATATAACGAAAAAACACGTTAATGGAAAAGATTATTTTTTAAACAATGTAAGTATTGGTAATATTTGAAAAATACGGTTGGTATTACAAATTGCCGTTAAATCTAATTCGAAAGAATGTATAATGGGTTGCATATTAAATTTTCGTAGAGATCGTTCATATTATACATCTGGAAATATTTTTCTAAATCTAAAAACGGACTGTAAAGCTTAACTGCTTAAGCAGATATTTTCAAATTTCAAATAATGTTTGTAAAGTTTATGTTTTTAAATTTCCTAAAAGGAATAGATGCACATCTGGATTAAATAAAATCACTTTAGACTATTTAAAAAGTTTTAATTACAAGGAAATTTAATTTTGTGTTAAGACCACCTGAGTGCTTCCGAAATCAATGTTTCTAAATAACATTTCATTGATAAGCAGTGATCCAAAACATTTGATAATTAGGAAGTGGACCAAAATAACCAATCTATGATTAAAGCAAAATTTACCGAAAATCATCTCACCTGCATAATATTGTTACTTGTGATATCAATCAAGTCAGCTGTTTAGTATAGGTACAGGGTTTATCTGGGTCATTTTCAAAAAACACCCGCCTTCCGCTGTCCGTAAGTTTGAATTCCAATAACTTTGTTAAACATTATCGGATCTTATTGATTTAAAAACCAAGTGAAAGCCTAACAAGCCCTTAGTAAACTCTTTCAGAAAATTTTTGTTTAGTTATTTCAGAATAATTTTTTTATAATTTTGAAACTTGTGAAACACACATTTTCGCATGTCCCATTAGCGTTTTATAAAACTTACATACATGTTTTTTTTTAATATTGAATAACCAGAACTTTGTGTTGCTTTATAGCAATCCATAACATCCTTGGTTAATAAAGTAAACAATTTATATATCAATTAATTAATTTTAATCTACTTTTTTTTAATTTGACTCATGTCCCAGACATTTTTTCCGTTGCGTTACGTCCGTCGCGTTACCGATAGAATATTAAAAAAACATATATATGGCAACTTTTTTGGTACTCACGTGATCAACAAATGATGTTCGGACGTACACATTACCCAGCTGAATTTATTTATTCAATCAGGAAGAAGATATCGGTTGAAACAGGTGCGAATGTAATAATTGTTTGTCCGCTAAGTTACTTAAAAAAATAATAAAAATAAGGTAATAAAAAATACTATTTTTCATGTTTATGTTTATTTTAGGGCACTAAAGCTCATTGAGAGTAATTAATGTCTATAATGTCTTATTATTATTTTTTAAATATGGTTTTACAAAACTTTGTCCACTGCGTTACCGAGTCTACTATGTTACCTTATGCATAAAAAAAGAAACTATATAGGGTGGTACCTATATAGTTTCTTTTTTTCGTTATCTGATTAAGTCCTTTGTGTACCCATGTCCGTTGTGATACCAATGTCTATTTCGTTACTTTTTTTAGTTTTTGTTAAAAAAATAATTAAAATGATTTTTATACACTATCACTTGGTAATACGTATTTATAAATTAGAGTTTAATTCACTAATACAGTGACTAAAAGAAAATATTAATGGTATTGTTTTTTTAACAAAGAATCGGAATGGTTTCTTTTAAAAAGTAACTTAACGAACATACATATTTAAAAAAAGCATACAGTTTTCAATAAAAAAATTAAATAAAAAATTGTAGTCAAATTTTTTTAAACTAAGTACATTTTATTTCAAATTATTTCTATAACAACTTTTTTTTTAATTAAATTTTGGATTTAAAATTGGTAATGGAGATATATAAAGCTAGCTAAACACATTTTTCTGAAAAAAACTTGATAAAAATTACTCACTAGTGAGTTATGGATTATAACACACTAGTGTGTTATTTGATAGTTTACTTGTCTAAACATAACTGTCATGTGTTGGATAAAAGTTTTTTAATTTGTTTTGTAAAATAAGGTTTTCTCTAAATTCTGTCACGTTAGTTACTCAAGGCCATGTCGAAGGACCTCTGAAACTCTACAGCCCCAGGAGAAGGAAATCTCTCGTGTTCATTCTCTAGAAAAAAATACCTTTTTCTACTCCCACCTTTAAAACGCCCTTTATCGTACATGTTTCCATGACACTAAGTGACCTTTTAAATACAAATTGACAAGTTGTGGCTTTACGGCGCTTTAGTCATGGGCTGAAGTTAGCAACAGGTTTTTAGTCACGGGCTGAAGTTAGTTTTAAGTTAGTTGACAGTTGTCAAATATACAATCGTTAAAATAAAGTGCCTTTCTTGTAAAATAATACTAAATGTGAAAATCATTTTATTATCTTAATACAAAAATATTAAATAGTTTCTCAACGCCAATATTTGAAAGGTTTATATGAACATTGTACTGACCTTTTAATTTCGCCGGCACTAAACTATAACTTAAATTCGAGCTCGGACTCCACTGTAAAGTCCTCATAAAACATTTCCTTTACTTTCACTGTGAAAAACTGTCAATTTTCAAGATAAATTTCGATTTATAACCTTTATAATTGTGTTTATAAAATGTAAAAATGTGACATTTGACAGTTTCCCCTGTTGTTTCATAGATGGCGCTCTATAAAATTTTTTGATTTAAATAATTTTAAGATAATAATAAGTATTTGTCGTAGAAAAAGTATAGTATGCACCTCGTTTATAAACTTTTCTATACACTCATTAACTTAAGCACTCGCTCGCAAGCTCGCTCGTGCCTAAATTAAATTCGTGTATAAAATGGCGTTTATCAAATTTGAAACATAATACACTATTATATGTTTTATGAGATAAATAGAATTACTATAAAGCTATCAAGAATTATGTTTTATTAAACATTAAGAACTTATTTTCAAATTGTTTGTGATTGGCAACTTAATATGTTACGAAGAACTTCTTCTTCTCAATGCAAAATTTACAATTACCTTGCTCACTTCAGGCTCTATAGATCTTTAAACCCAATAAATCCTCATTTTCCTCTGTAACGTATAGGTAGAAAATTAATTCTTAAATTGTCCTGTTCGTAGTAAAAGCCTTGTACGCATTAACACTAGAACCTAGAAAAAGTCACTGCAACTTCATGCGAGATGAAAATCTGTAACAATTAACAAAAAATAGGTATATAATATATAACTACCAGTGGCGGCTCGTAGGTTTTGAAAGAGGGTGGGCACAAAAAACTCCATTTTTCATGCGAGAAAAGACTAACTGATCACGTTTGTCTTTTGCCTATAGGCCATATATGGTACTAAAATCCATGCATGCATTCATGTGAGAAACTAATCTCTTTTTTAAAAATTAAGCACATAAATCAAAAAGCTTATTTGTTACTGAACAACCGCATATCCACTCGTTTTTATCATATATATTTCTGTTGAATACTCGAACTGTAATATTTTTTCTTTTTTGTTGCAGATGTGTCGGTTACTTTATGTAACCCTTCTGGCGTACTTTTTTACTTTGGTGTCTTGCAGAGTGATTGTCCCTTTGGAAGGACCTCTTTGGCGTTCGAATATCGCGGAGGACATAACTTCACCGGAGGATAATTTACAGTTTTTGTCGGATTTCTTCGATCAACGGTATCCACATCAACTAGTCCAGTACAACGCAGGTAAATCAACGCACAGTAAAAGTTTTAAAGTATTATTTATGATTTTTTTGCTTAATAATTTTTCACACACAGGGTGGTAGGTTAGAAGCGAATACGTCATCTCTTTGGGATCATTTCATGATTTCTTTGTTACAAAGAAGATCTTCATTATAGGTTAGGGTGGAGTGAATTTTATTAAATTTATTAATTGATTTTTCCTATATTATTAATTGTTGACTAAAGGCGTAAAATGAATAAATATCGAAAAAATATTCCAATTTTTTAATATCTTGAGGTGGCGCATCTGTCTCGAAGTTTTGAAAATTCTAAAAAAATATTACTTTAATCAAAGTAATAAAAATAGCATTATTTATAAATAAAAAGTTTATTTTAGTAAAATTAACGTGAAACGTAAACATATTTAATAGTAAATCATATGCTTTAAGTAACTTCAGGAGTGTTTATTGGTAGAAATGAGATCTTCTTTTTCGCGAAAATACTGACATTTGGTATCAAAATTTGGTAATTATTTTCTGACTTTAATTCTTGTTCTGATGAAACCATTTCTTGCTTCCGATCCACAAACCGAGACTGAAGATTCAGTATACTGGTTATAACCAGTTTTACACAGCGTTCCACTGCTTGGGTGTGACACTGAAATTTTTGGAAGTGTAGGAAATGGTCACCCGAAGAAATCATATCGGTAATTTCTGTCATCGTATTTCATAGTCATTGGTGGTTCAGTCACCTTTTCTGTCGCCCAGTGAATTAACTGGTACAAACGTAATGCTTCAGTATTTAGTTGTGGAAGCTTTAATTCCCGTAATCTCGAACATTTTGATTCTTTTCTCGCCTTTAATATTTTCGGCAACGCTAGTTCTCTGATCGATAGATATATTGTAGGTAACATAGCAAGTAATAGGTTTTCGGGATAAATATTTCGCTGAATATTCTTTATAACTATAGTTATAAGGCCTTCAAGTTTTTCTGGAGGTGTAATGCTCTTTTAGTCAAATTAAATATGTGAATAGGACCATGTTTGCACGTAGGCTTGCTGTTGATGTAAAACCACGTTGGGGCATACACTTTCATGATAAAAGTAGCCAATTCTTTTAGGTTTTCCGATGTATTTGCTGTCCCCCCATATAAACGAATAATCCTATTAGCCCACGCCAGCCATAGGGAATGTGCTAGCTTGCCTGGATCTTTGTAAGCTATAGCTAATATTTATCCCGAAAACCTATTACTAGCTATGTTACCTACAATATATCTATCGATCAGAGAACTAGCATTGCCGAAAATATTAAAGGCGAGAAAAGAATCAAAATGTTCGAGATTACGGGAATTAAAGCTTCCACAACTAAATACTGAAGCATTACATTTTTACGAGTTAATTCACTGGGCGACAGAAAAGGTAACTGAACCACCTATGACTATGAAATACGATGACAGAAATTACCGATATGATTTCTTCGGGTGACCATTTCCTATACTTCCAAAAATTTCCGTATCACACCCAAGCAGTGGAACGCTGTGTAAAACTGGTTATAACCAGTATACTGAATCTTCAGTCTTGGTTTGTGGATCGGAAGAAAGAGATGGTTTCATCAGAACAAGAATTAAAGTCAGAAAATAATTACCAAATTTTTATACCAAATATCAGTATTTTCGCGAAAAAGAAGATCTCATTTCTACCAATAAACAGTCCTGAAGTTACTTAAAGCATATGATTTACTATTAAATATGTTTACGTTTCACGTTAATTTTACTAAAATAAACTTTTTATTTATAAATAATGCTATTTTTATTACTTTGATTAAAGTAATATTTTTTTAGAATTTTCAAAACTTCGAGACTGATGCGCCACCTCAAGATATTAAAAAATTGGAATATTTTTTCGATATTTATTCATTTTACGCCTTTAGTCAACAATTAATAATATAGGAAATATCAATTAATAAATTTAATAAAATTCACTCCACCCTATTATAGGTGCTTAAATGCCGTGCTTTTATTAATAACTCGTTACTGATTTGGATCAATGGCTTAAGTAATTTGAAATAAAGAAAAGCAGGTTTACAACAAAACCTAGGTTCTTGTTCTTAAAAAAAAATCTATTGTCATTTAAGCTAAGTGATTTAATTTTTTTAAGAAAATCCGGGTTTTTTTATTTCAAATCCATTAGCGTTTGATTAAAAGAATTTTGTTATTTGTATCAAAACTCGGATTTCTTATTCTAAATCTATGGGCATTTAATTTTGGAAAAATTACCCGAGTAAATTAAAAAAACTACGATAATTGATACTAAAACATATATTTATTAAAAACATAAAAGACATTGTTTATACAGACATACACTGTGGGAAAAATCTAATACCTGTTATGAAAAATATAATATAGATTTCTCTATTAGTATTAGGACAGCGAACTAGTTCATAGACATATGAACTCGGTTTTGTTACAGTTATAAGACATACTATCATCTCTTATAAAATCGATATGCTGCCACCATAAAATGATGTTGTAGTGGATATAATCAAAATCTTAAGTACTATAAACCCGCTTTATATCGAGTATTAGATGATTTTTAGCCAGTATAACAGATTGCTATAGCATATATGTGTATTTGAAAATTCTTATTAATGTAGTGGCTAATACTTCTTACAAACTCTGTTTATTCTCTTTATTAGCAATTTAGTTACTTATAGACAAAATTATGCATTTTTCATAAGAATTATTATACTTAATTGCTGACAGGATAAGGGTCGTTATATAAAAAGTTCAACTTTTATAAATTTTATACTTTTATTATAAAAAACAGGTACAAGAAATAAATAAACATAATTAGGTACATAAGGAAATCAAAATTTTGCATGTCGAAACTTACAAAGAATGCCAAGGGAGAAAACAAATCAAGCGTAAAAATATTCCTACTTACAAAAACCCCACAGCGTGTCACTGCAATTTTTTAAAATTATTATTTGGAAAATGTATTTTTTTAATTTTTAGTAAAATCGTTTGTTTTTGTTTGAGGGGCTATTTTTTAATAATTTTTATCATGATTTTTTATTAAAATCTCTTGATTAAAATCATGATTTAAATCGTTAATTTGTATCAACTAATTAAATTAAAATCTCAACCTTATAAATTTCTGTTAAAACAAAGCTATAAGCTACCATTATCCAATAAATGGTAAAACGGCGTGCCATAGAATAAATTATTGGGAAATATAGGTATTAAATATATGTAGGTGAGTACAGGGTGAACCAAGCAAGGGGACCCATATACTTATCTCAGAAACTACTGTCCCAAAAAATGTGTAGAAAACAAAAATTTATGTAGGTAGTATATTTTTAATATTATATTATATTATATTATTATATACGTCACACATTGCCGATACAACATCATGCTCCCCACCGCTGCACGGTGCCGCCGAATTTTTGTAGACATTGAGGCCCACAAAGTTGGGCTTGTACCACAGAATATGGAAGACAGTAGAGTCAGTCCCGAGATCTGTTCGGCTCGCTTATCAGCCGTTGTAAAAGACTGGGCGGGGCGTGGAATGTTTTAGTAAACAAAGTTTATTAATTAGATCTATGCGTGTTTATAGTTTCTTATTTCTGTTTAGTCTTTGCCTTAGCGTTAAAATGGAAAGTTGTGATAAAAATGCAAGCGTAAAATACATTATTGTGTTGTGAATTCATGTAAAAATAATTCAAATAATTATAAAAGATCATTTTTATTTTAATATATTATTATATTAACACAGTAAATATCACAGTAAAAATCACAAATCATATAAATAAAAATATTCATGTTTTTTATAGGTCAGTGTTAAATCGTTGAGTTTCATATACCTACTGTGCTTGTACATTATTATTATTTTGTTGCTGTGCGGTTGTGCCTTTATGAATCTAAAAATAATTATTGTAAGATAGGTAAAAATGAGCAGTACCTCCTGGGTAATGTGGAAACAAGCTGAAGGAATAAATAAAAATCCCACCTCGTCCCGCACTTTTTGTATTATTCTAGCTAAAATTTGAAAATTCTTCTCGTGAAAGAACATATTTTTAAATAATATATTTTTATTATTTAGATTCTAAAGTGCTCCAAAAACGCGAGACTTTAAAAATTTCAAAAAAAAAATTGCCTGCGGTGCCATATAGCGGTTTATGGGCCTCACCTTCATGAATGGTCACCAGCCGCCACTGTTCCAGATGCAGAAACGCATTGATATATATAGTTATTATTTGTCAAAAAAAAAACGTTTTGTAGTATTAATGAAACCCTAATGGTATTATTAATAGAAATTTTGTAAATTTTACAAATCCCTTTTCGTGTAAAATAAAACTTTTTTTTTAATATTTATAAAATTTATGTAAATTTAACAACAAATTAAATGTTAATTCAATAAACTATTTTCATTGCAACAATGGTCACATTTTCAATCTACTATTGGGTGTTAGGTAGTTTTTTTTAAATAATTGCAAGGCATTAAAACAAATTATTTATCATAACAAAAAAATTAACTTATATTATATGATGTACAAAGTAAAAAAAATATGAACTAACTTTTTAAACAACAAGTCTGCTTCGTTTATAGAATAGACTTTAAATATTTCTTTTAGAAAACGTCGAAATTTTAATTTTCTTAGTGATCTTTTTGATGTTTTTATCATGCTAGATTTTACATCACATCACTCGCACAAGTGAAATCAATAACATTAAACACAGACTGTAGATTATAAAGTTATGTTCACCAAGGAGAGCGCTGGCCCTTTCCCCCTCTTTTTAAGGGAAATAACAAAAATTTTGTAACCATTGCAAAACAATAGTAAATATGAAAAAGTCTTTTTATAGCAATAAAATATTTTTGTTATTGTTCTTAACGTAAGCTATTAACAAAGATTTTCTACCTGAAATAAAATTAATTTGAATTACAACGATAGTAATTTAAAAAAGACAAATATGCCATAGTAAAATGAACAAATTTTACTATAACAACTGCGCATTACTTT